GGTGAGGGAGAGAGTGTGGTAAGGGGGATGAGGGAGAGTATGTGGGTGAGGCAGATGAGGGAGAGAGTGTGATGAGGGGGATGAGGGGTGAGCGGAGGTGAGGGGATGAGGGAGAGTGTGGTGAAGTTGAGGGAGAGAGTGTAGTGAGGGGATGAGGGAGAGAATGTGGTGAGGTGTTGAAGGAAGGAGTGTGGTGAGGGGATGAGACAGAAAGTGTGGTGAGGGCCTGAGGGAGTGAAAGGGAGTTAGGGGAAGTCCAAATGGAGTGTATGGATTGACTGGAAGGAGTATTTTAAAAGCAGTTCAGAGCAGGAAATAGAGCAGGATTTGCTTTCATCCCTGTTAAAGCTGGTCTAAAGAGGATAAGGAGCCAGAGCACAGTTCACTCCATTACCCGCCCTGACTGCACACTTACTTTCCACTTCTGCCATCTTTGCAGAATTGTTGCCACATTCCCAGCCTGGCATTCTTCCTTTTCAGGCATTTTTTTCTTTGGGGATTATTCATATTGACAGTTAATTTCTGGACTTTTGTCTATACTAACAGTGCTTTTCTCCAGACCAAGATATAACCTTATTCTATAAATACTTCTTACTAAAGGAGACAACCTTAATGTTATAAACATTATTATTCTTGTTAATTAATATTAAGTTAAAACGAATAACAATGGTGATGATTAATCAATTAATCCAACTTTGACAGTTAACTAATATCAAGGTGAAAGGCAAATCAGCAGACACCTGTGTGATTCACCAGTTTGTTCATCATGTTACACATGAAAATCAGGACCTCTGCAAACTGCGTGGTTCCCAGTAGGGGCATCATCCCACAAATCTTTCTCACCAGGACTTGGCACTTTGGTGTAAGAAGTATCTGCGATGCTGTCATGTGGAATCGCTAGGAATAGTGAGGTTTTCGCTGGACCCTAAGAGCTATTGTTCTCGGGCAGAACTGAGCCCCCACCCCAAACATACTCCCAAGGAGGTGGGAGGCCTGGAAACAGGTACACAGGTACACTGTGGGCAGTGTTGAGCTCAGGAGTCTGGCTGGACCCGATGACAATTTATATTCTAACCTTATGGTATTTATTTTTGCCCCTGTATCAGCACTGCACTGAGATGTGCTGCATTTGTAAGTAAAATCATTGATTTTTATACAGAATTTTAGGCACAGTGAGATTCCCTCCACAATCCTCCCAGCCGTGAATTTAAGTCTTGGCTCTGTCACTTACTCAATGTAGCAAATTACTTAACCTCCTTCAAAACTCACATTGTTGTTAAAGACTTAAAAAAAAAAAAAAACAGTGAGTGTAAAGTGCTTATAACACAACAACTAAAACAATGCTTTCTATTTTCATTATTTTGGTTAAGGAAAACTACATTTTTAAAAGACATTACCTCGTATAAATAAAGTGTTAGGGTTGTTTCCTTCGAAGAAGAAAAACCAGGGTGGTCACTTGGTGAGGCTGTGGAAACCCATCTGTTCAGTAAATATGACGAGTTTTCTGGCTTAAGTCCCTCAAAAACACTCTCACAAATAAAGGATCACTGAAACTACTTATTTAAGATATTTCCAATTTTTTTCAGTATCTTCTACCATTTGACTCCAAAACTTTGATAGGATTCTGAAAAATATTACCCTCTAGAATTATGAAATACTATTCTTTACATGTTTGAACACGCTACGAGACCATACATCCACTTCCTAGAATGTACTTACCTGTCCGACCAAGCCCTGCATGACAATGGACCGCTGCTTTTCCTTCTTGTAAGGCAAATGTCATCACCTTCACCATATCCAAGATGGTGGTGAGTGATGCGACACCATAATCCTTCCATCCAAAATTGTAGAAATAAACTGGGCAATGAAAAAAAAGAAAACAGGAAAAAAACAATTAACATACATAGCCATCTGAAGAAGGTGAGTGAATTCATGAAAAGTGTAAAGCTGTAAGACTAGATGCAGAGGCCTAAAATAATGGGGTTTTTATATTTCCAGTAAGTTCATTGTTAACATTTCTTACAAAGCACACTCTATATTACTTAAGATATTTCCTGCTAAAACTCAGCCAGAAAGAATTAAGGTGAAACAGGATTGCAAATTAATAAATTCCACGACCTTGGCCCAAATTACTCAGCCACAGAGGGAAAGCATGGCACCTGGATTAAGCATGGAAATGCGTTTAAAGGACTGATAAATGGCACAAGGTGGGTACATTCAGATTTCCCACCCAGCGGAGACAAAAAGAGCTAGACACACAGTTCTTAAAAACAAGTCGCAGAAGTGGCCAGGGGTGGTCCTTTCCAGCCTGGTTCTGAATGGCACGCGTTCGGTGGACTCGGTCCCTAGGCTCCCAAGACTGGGACTTCTGGGACTGTTGCATGAAGAATCCCTGCGTCCTGCCCAGAATCAGAGCTGGGCAGCAATAAAAGCATGAATGAGTCCTGTGTTCCACTCCTGCTGCCGTGTGTACGCTGTGTGACCCGGACGAGTGGGAACTCGCTAAGCCTGCAAGGCCCATGTGTGAAGCAAAAACAGGGACTACTGGAGGTGGGGGTGCCGAGCAGCAGGGCCAGTGTCCTGTTATGGTAACTAATGCAGGCATTGTTTCTACGGGGCTCTTCCCGAGATCCCTCTCCCGGGACAAAAGAAATCCTGTACTTTCAGCAGCACCACCCGAGAAGAACGAGAAGAACAGTGGCATTATCTAGAATCAGTCAGCTCATCTTCCCTGTAGGGAGTCCGCTACCCCCACTGTGCCCCTCACCCCCCAAAAGTGGTCATTCTATCACCCTGTGATGAAAGAGCTGAGCAGACAAATCTGGGTGCCCTTCTTGGTACCTCATGGAGGGGAGGTGGAGGGACTTACTGCCAGCCTCCATGAAAGCTTCAGGAAGGTATGTGAAGCCACTCTCTTGTTCCAGAGGGTTCCCACAGCTGGCATGCTCGCCAGGGCGCTGCAGGTTGATGACTGTTTTTATGCCATGACTTATAGGAGAAAAGAAAAAAGTTATCATATTGAGAGCAAGTGTTTAAAAAAATCAAGCATTTTGGCATTAATAAACATTATTAATCACTCTTAAAACCTCAATTTCCTAACTGAAATAAGCTCTCCCTGCCTATTGTTCGACTATTTGGAGTCAAAAGCAATGGACGAGAAAACAAGAACTGGCTTAGCGACTGTGTCAACGACATGGCATTTACCTTTGGAACTGCTCGATGAGGCCGTACTTCTCGAGGAGCTCCGTGGACGGGCGAGCCATAGCCAGGATATTCTCAGTGACCCTAGGAGCGGGGAGGGGCTGGTAAGATGCACAAAACTTGGAATGTTCCAGCTCTAAGAACTAAGAGAATGAGATATCAAGTCCCTACTTTTTCTTTGATTTTTAACAATTCTAGATACAATTTTCTTATACAGATTCTGGCTTCAATTTTGTATCATGAGGGCTCTAAGAACCCCTGAATCCCTGAGAAACATTCCAGGATGTAAAGTATTCACGGACTCTGGCAGTGTGATTTCAAGGACTCTCATGAGATTCTAGTGGGTGTGGTGGAGGAACCTCGTTGGGCACCAAAGGTAATTCTGCCCCTCAGTTACCTATTATGTCAAGTAGGGGTTAACGCCTTCCTCACAGGGCTGGCATGAGAATTCAACACAATGTGGGTGTAAGTCTTTAGCACAAATCCTGGCATGTGGTGATGAATAAATGCTGAGTTATTCTAATTCGGCAAAACATATGGGCTTTGGAATCAGTTGGGACTGGTTTCAAATATTGGCTTTTCTACTTCTAGCTGGATAGTAGGTTACTTAGTCTCTCTGGACCTCAATTCCTTCAACAACAGAGGACATAAACCGTCTGCTTTCCAGGAGCTTTATGAAGATGACATAATAATTTGACAGTGTCTAGCACAGTGCCTGGCCTGAGGACAAATGGACAGAGGCCCCCCAACAGATAGCTGCCCCTCCTCAGGGGTCTGGTGAAAGACATGTCAGGCAGTCTGTCGGGAGCTATGGGTCACATGAGCCTGACGAGTAACAGAGACATCAGCTGAGCAGAGCACAATCCGAAAGATATCACGCCCCCCGCTGGGGCAAGCCCTGAAATTTGATGGGGACTCCCCCAAATTCAGTAGTACTTAGCATAAGATGAGGAGAGAAGTACCTTGAAACCATGACAGATGAAAAAGACTCAGATGTTTGGTCAACAATAAACCAAAGATTTTTTTTTTAAAGATTTATTTATTTATTTATTTGACAGACAGAGATTACAAGCAGGCAGAGAGGCAGGCAGAGAGAGAGAGAGGAGGAAGCAGGCTCCCTGCTGAGCAGAGAGCCCGACTCGGGGCTCGATCCTAGGATCCTGGGATCATGACCTGAGCCGAAGGCAGAGGCTTTAACCCACTGAGCCACCCAGGTGCCCCTAAACCAAAGATATTATTGTGATCTCAAGCTATATTATAGGGAATTTACAGTCTGACCACACCTCAGGCCTAGTGCTTGATTTCGCACAACACTCTTTAGACTAGAATACGATCTGTGGGGAATGGCTGTGACAACAGACCCCAACTCTAACACCACTCACAGTGGCAAGTTAGGTAGACTGGTTGACAAAAGTCTAGCTTGGAAATAGATTCTTGCCACAGAAAATGATTCACTACTAGAGTTCTTCAAACCATGAATTCCTCTTCGTGGGTTTCAAAGGTGATTTGGCAGGATGCCCAGGTGGTTCAGTCGGTTAAGTGTCTGCCTTCTGCTCAGGTCCTGATCTCAGGGTCCTGGGATCGAGCCCCACATTGAGCCCCACATTGGGCTTCTTGCTCAGCAGGGAGTGTGCTTCTCCTTCTCTCTCTGCTCCTTCCCCCGCCCCCACCACTTGTGCCATCTTGAAAAAATAAAAAAATTTGAAAAAACAAAACAAACAAAGGTGATTTGGCTTGATTATCAGAATTCATCAGAGATATCACTGCATCAAAAGAGGTCTACTTGACAGTTTACTATGAATAACAAGAAGCAGAAGCATTTACCACAGGAGTCACATCTGTGTCCCATCAACCACGCACGCACCTCATGCTGTCTGCTGAGCCAACAACGCGCACGGCTCTCTACTGAGGCACGCGGGCGGTGTATCTGTGGGGAAGCGTGCCCTTTCATACACAAGATGGGAGCAAAAAAAATGAGGCTGACGTGTACCTGTGTGAAGCTGACAAACCACGTATGTACCTCCTGCCTTCTCAGATTTAGAGCTGAACACATTATTTCTGGTGACTTCTGATATTTAAGAGCTATCTCACTACCATTTCTTTAAGGTACTCTACGTCATCATTTCACTTAATTAAAAAAACCCTGTGGGTTGGTTTTGTTATTTCCACTTTACAGATGAGGGTCTGAGTACCTGCATGAGCTCATCAAGCCACAAGGCCGGGGTGCAGGGTGTGGGGTCCTGGGACTGCAGCCCCCCCACGCTCCCTCCTCCACAGCCACACCCTGCCGCAGACTCACTGACCACGATGAGTAGATCCCCTTAATGGCACTTACCATGACGAGTAAACCCCCTTAATGGCCTGCTCCTGCTCACTCCAGCGGGCCGGGTTTTCATACTTGCACGCTCTGCCACCACACGCCATGGAGCAGGCCATGTGTCCAGGAATCACATGCCGTAAACGCTCTCCGACTTTTGTATACTTCGGTGTTGGACGTCCTGAATTTCCTAGAACACACGAGGACGGGAGGATTCAAAATTCCACTCTCCATGTGGAATAATAACATGAGAAACAGCTTCCATGTTCTCTCAGGACCGTAGTTGATGAGCTGGTGCTACATTCCCTTCATTTTGTCAGAAATAAAACTGTTTCCTTCTCATCTGAGTGCACGATCTCTTAATACAGAAAAGGCTTTCATGCACAGTAATCTCTACATGTCATACAGGTGATGTAGAAGAAGAAACTATAAAAGCACATCTTTTATAACGAAATGAGTTTTTTCAAAAATTACATTTTCAATGCAAAAGCACAAAACATTCAATCACTTTATCTCCTAATTACATGTCCACTGAAGCTCTTAGTATAACAGACAGTAAAAAGTACGATGTAGAATTAACTGTCAACAGCCTGAATTTAAACTCAAAGCTGTGGCAATCTTTAAGGAGGAAAAAAGCTTTTACTTTTTCTCTGGAGGCAAGTTGGGTTTCTTTCGGCACAGCTGACAGAGGCCACTGCCACCATCACCTGGAGAGAGGACGAGGAGAGCGTCTGGGCGGCCGAGCCGCGCCGGCCCTGCTGCAGGATAGGGTCCGAGGATGAGTGCCGGCGGCCCTGGAAGAAGGCGCTGAGGAAGGGCAGGGCCGAGCACCGCCGGGGCAGGTCCTGCATGGCTGGGCTCCCAGCGGGAAGAGCTGCGGCCGAGTGGATGGCAGCGGCAGCCTGCGAGATCTGACAGCCATCGGGGATAGGCTGACTTGTTTCCATAGTGACGAACAAAGAAACTACTGATTCCCACTCAGGGCTGTACAGGCAAAATCCCACATGAATGGATTGCATTTTGGACAGATTGTTCAAAGAGAGGGAAGAACATGTATTTTAAATAGATTATACTAAATTGCAACTACTCTATTTTGTTTCTCATACAAAGCTAAAAGACCTGCCAGCTCAAAGAATTACAGGTTACGCACTATAATGAATTTAGAAAAATGTGTTTATGACACAGACACTGCCTTTTGTACACATGTTGAAAGGTTTAAATTGTTATTCCTTTCATATCTATTCTCTGAACAGTCCGAAAAAACTTCTCTTTCTACTCCTCCCTGGACCAGGGTGGACAGGAAGTTAACTGTAATGACGCAGGATGTGTAGCACACCTCATAACAGTATTAAAACACCATTCAGTTCTTCAAAACCAGAAAGTCCCCTATGATTTTCCCCACAGAACTATTCTAAAAAAATACTTGGACAGAACACATAAAGACATCTGTAGGGCTGATCCAATCAGAAGACACGGGCTTCCATACTTTTGCTTTCAGAGTGTGAAAACACAGATTCTGGCCATGCCTTTACCATGCAGTTAAGTGGCCGTGCCTCTCACTCAAAGATGCAATTCTGTGCCTTTTGTCACTGCTTGTGGGGGAAACGAAGCTTCAGGAATGTCTTAGTGGAGGCATGTGGAAAAAATGCACTAAGTGTCACATTCTTCTCAGGAGCTGGATGAGGAGGTGGCTGCAACTAGAGGATAAAGGACACAAAGAACACAGAAAATCGAACACTGACGTCCGCCTCCTCGCTCGTGAATGTCAGGCTCACCCCACCCCGTCTCTGTGTCTCCGTGTGTCTCTCAGTCTCTCCAAGTGGTGTTTCAGCCATGTGCAGACAGAAACTACCTCCTGCCACAGGTGCGGCTCGTTTTCGTCTGTTCAGTTTTATTTTAACCATCAGTAATGCTGTAAGCACTTGCCCTTTAAAATGCAACCCCAACTGAACAGGCTCTGTCCGATAAGACAGAGACAGAGAAGCTCATTTGGTGCCTAAATTCCTACCCGAGCCTTGGGGCATGTCCTTGTTCACATACTGTGATGGAAAATAATTTTTTTGATGTTACAATCCAAAAAGCAAAGCTTCCACAGAGCTTCACAGGAGAGAGAGGAGTAGAAGATTCCACACCAAGGGCAAGCAGGTGCCTGGAGGCCGACAGCCCTGAGTACTCCAACTCGGGGGTCCGCATCTGCTATGTGAGGCAGGAGTTCCAAGCAAGTCTCTGAGCGGGGGCTCACGGGCTGGGAGCCAGGGACCAGGGGCCTGCTGGGACAGTGCCGGTGTGAACGGATTAGTCGAGGTGTGAGACAGTGCAGGAGTGGACAGATGGCAGCCAGGGCGCTAACAAGCTGTCTGAAGCTGCTTCATGCAGCCCGTGGAGAAACCCAGCAGGCGAGCTCCAGTGGAGCTGAGAAGCACGTGAGGCAGCGGCCGGAAAGTCTCCACCAGTGGAGATGCCCCACGTCTGCAGCTCTAAGGACGTCCACGGCCCAGGGCCCAAGTGGCATTGCTCTCAAAGGCTCCAAGAATGAAAATGAATTTGATGACAGTCAGCCTTGTCTGGCTGATGCTGAGGAAGGGCTGGTTGTGTATCATCTCGAGAACAATTTCTGCTGTAGAATCTTAAACACGGGGCTGACCTCCCATACACCTAGAACCACTCCGTGGACTCTGTCACTGGACGCTCAGGGACCCCGAGTGCAGGTCTTCAGGGAAGTGGCGCCAAAGGCAGACAGGAGTCTGAAAGGCAGCTGTACCCTCCCTCGAGTGCTCACCCCCAACTTGAGAGTGTGGGGCACACCTGCTGCTCAAGAGGAGCCCTGTCCACCTGCGGGTATGGGCACGACAGGCGGGATGGACGCCTCCTTCCCCCAGCCGTGGTAGAACTGTCACCCAGTCTTAGGCTCCAGACTACTCACTGGCAAAATGCCCAAATCGTGGCCAAATCTGCCTCTGAAAGCCAGTTTCATTGATGCTAAGTGGCTTTCCAACAGGGAAGTGTGCCTTCAGTCCCACCCCTAAGATGGCACTGGCCTCTCTTCCTGCCTCTGTCTGCAGACACGTGGACTTTCTGCGCACGTCTTCCTGCTTTTCTAAGCAGACGGCCACACCTTCCCGTTTGCTCCATGTCTCATAATTCTCCTCTAATGGATGCACAAGGATCCTCATGCATAAGCGGGTGCACCTAAACTTAGGTCCTCATTCCCTTGCTGTTGGACATTTAGCTCATAATCCATGATCTTATTTAAAAATAAGACATTAGGGGCGCCTGGGAGGCTCAGTGGGTTAAAGCCTCTGCCTTCGGCTCAGGTCATGATCCCAGGATCCTGGGATCGAGCCCCACATCGGGCTCTCTGCTCAGCAGGGAGCCTGCTTCCTCCTCTCTCTCTCTGCCTGCTTCTCTGCCTACTTGTGATCTCTGTCTGTCAAATAAATAAATAAATAAATCTTTAAAAAAAAAAGACATTAAACATCTCCGAACCCAAACCTTTTTATATCCACATTTCTTCTTCAGCAAATTCCTAGGGCTGAGGTGGCTGCAGCAGAATTTTCAAAGCTCATATTTTCATATCGCTGAGTCTTTACAGGTTTCAACAACTATGTACGAAGACGCTAAAAGAGGTAATATTTTAAAAAACCCAACACGGGTTTTTTTCCTGAGTTCATAGAGAAATACAGCGTTAAAATAAGGATTGAGAAAAGCCATCGGCAAGAAGCTTTGTTTCAACCTCCCTGACCTCCAGAATCTCACATCTCCTTAGTTTGTGGCCTTCGAAAACCATGTTTTTATTCACAGAATGTTGCCAGAAAACAATCATGAAATAAGTTGAAAGAGATTATTTCAAATTCTCAGAAAAGAAGATATTATATTTGTACCAAACTGGTCTTTCTGTATTCGTTAAGAAAGCATATTTGTAGAACAACCTAAAAATCCACTATAAAATTTAAGTTGGGATGAGTTACAGATTGCTAATGATGAGTTGTTCAGACTCTTACAAGTAACATTTTAATACATAAATTACCAGCAGGATAAAAAAAATAGAGGCCTTCTCTTCAGATAAACAGGAGCCACAACACTATTTTAATTCCTATCTCATGTGATATTGTGATCTATAAAATGGAGTGTTCCAGAGTTAGAGTAATTTTGTGAAGGGTCATGCTTTTGCAGACACTTAAAATGTAGAGTATTCTTTTCACAGAAGGAACGTCAGTATCCTAAATTCCTTGTCCTTCCACCGTTATAAATTTATTTGTGGTCCGCACAAACCTACACTACTGTTATTTTCCCACTTACCTGCTAACAACTCATCTGTTTCTCACTCCTCTGACAACACATTCTTCGAAATACATAAGAAGACAAATGTCCGTTTTCTCCATTCCACGAATGCAGACTCATGGGTGCGCTACCTTGCTACTGTTCTTACCTTCTCCCTTCCAAATATACTGTCTCTAAAAATAAAACAGCCTCCAAGAAAAAGCAGGAATACAAAGGATAATCCTTGCGACCAATCCTATACGCCCCAAGCTGCCGTCACCGACAACACAAAGGGCCCCTGGAAGCACAAAGGAGGAGGGTGCCGTGCTCCAGTTTCCACGCCCTAACACCTTCACGGCCACTGGCTTGATTGCAGGCGGCAATCGGACCTGCCCCAACTCAAAATCATGTTTAAGGATCCAAGGGATTCCCTGGTCACTGCAAGCGTGAGACTGTCCGCCCCTGTGGTAAGCGCAGCAAGCAACAAAGAAACCCGCTGAGAGGACCCCAACACTCGGTCTTTTCCTCCTTAAGCCCCACACATGGTGGTTAGAACAGATGTAGAACCCCAAGCAGCGGTCATTTCCGCTTAGACTCAAGATTTTGAAAAGGGCTGAGAACATCCTATTTTAACAAACTCAGGTGACAGTGACCATGGGCCCGAGCGTGCAGTGGGAGCTGGAGGTCCACCTGGCCTCAGCCCTAAGTCACCAGAGGAGTCACTTCAAGGAGCAGCTTCTGCTTGCCACTGATTGTGACAGGAGTTCATTTCGTGCAAGGTCACCAACCACTCAGTCGCTGGATGGCTCAACGCGTTAGTCAGAGCCCCCCGCTCCGTAGACACTGGCTCTTCTTCTTTCCTCCGAAAATTAAACCAAAGCATCTCTTCGACTTTGCAAGATCTTCAAATATCCGAAGACAGAACTTCTC